CGAAACTTTGCCTTCGGCAAAGTCTGTTCCTCTCTGCCAACGCAGAGTTCGACAGGAGGCGTCCGCAGTCAAAGACCGCGAGATGCCATTCGGCATTTATATTTTTCACCCACGGAAAAGAATATGGCATAAGGCCGGTTTTTATGTGGGTTTCGAGCCCGTAGGCTCGGCCAAAAAATAGGCTTTTGGCCGATTAACGGGTTCAGGCCCTGTTAAGCCCCGGACGAAACTTTGCCCTTCGGCAAACGTCTGTTCGATCTGTTTACGCAGAGAGTTCGACAGGAGGCTCCAAATGTCAAAGACCGCGAGATGCCATTCGGTATTTATCTTTTCACCCACGGAAAAGAATGTGGCAAAGGCCGGTTTTATTGTGGGTTTCCCCTTCGGCAAAAAAATAGCCTCCGCAAGCCGAACGGGTTCAGGCCCTGCCCATTCCCCTAGCGAAAACCTGCCCTTCGGCAAAGTTCCTCTCTCGCTTACGCAGAGTTCGACAGGAGTTCGCACAAAGACCGCGAGATGCCATTCGGTATTCATCTTTCACCCACGGACCGCGGTTTTACCTGACGCCATCGGCCAAAAAGGAGGAGTTTTGAAGCCGATTCGGGTTTTATTTATGTTCTATATTCCCTCGGACGAAACCCACAAAAAAACGAAGTTCGAGAGGAGGCGTCCGGTCAAAGACCGCGAGATGCCATTTTCACCCACGGAAAGAATATAACAAGGCCGGTTTTTTGGGTTTCTCTGAGCCCGTAGGCTCGGCCAAAAAATAGCCTTTGAAGCCGATTAGACGGGTTCAGTTCCCCAGATATATTCGTATAATCGGACGGCCCTTCGGCAAATATTCGTCTGTCCTGCCCACGCCGACAGGAGGCGTCCGCAGTCAAAATTACGAGATGCCCCTTTTCACCCACGGAAAAGAATATGGCACAAGGCCTGGGTTTTTCCGAGCCCGGGTCGGCCAAAAAAATCCGATTAGACGGGTTCGTTACCTCTCCGGACGAAACGTTTTCAGCAAAGTTCGACGCAGAGAGCGACAGGAGGCGTGCGCAGTCAAAGACCGCGAGATGCCATTCGGTATTTATCTTTCACCCACGGAAAAGAATATGGCACAAGGCCGGTTTTTTGCGTTTTCCCGAGCCCGTAGGCTCGGCCAAAAAAATAGCCTTTGAAGCCGATTATACGGGTTATCCCTCTCGGACGAAACTTTGCCCTTCGGCAAACTAACGCAGAAGAAGTCAAAGACCGCGAGATGCCATTCGGTATTTATCTTTTCACCCACGGAAAAGAATATGGGCACAAGGCCGGTTTTTTGGCCTGCAGGCTCGGCACAAAGCCCGATTATATGTGGGTTTTGGACGAAATCCTTTGCCCTTCGGCAAAGCCTCGTCTGGCTCTGCTTTACGCAGAGTTCGACAGGAGGCGTCCGCAGTCAAGACCGCGAGATGCCATTCGGTATTCATCTTTTCACCCACGGAAAAGAATTACAAGGCCATTCTGAGCCCGTAGGCTCGGACGGGCCGGGTTCAGGCCCTGTTCACTTCGGGACGCTCAGCCTCGGCAAAGCTCGTCTGGTTCCCTCTTCGCAACGCAGAGAGTTCGACAGGAGGCGTCCGCAGTCAAAGACCGCGAGATGCCATTCGGTATTTATCTCTTTCACCCACGGAAAAGAATATGGCGGCACAAGGTCGGTTTTATGTGGGTTTCCGAGCCCGAGGCTCGGCAAAAAAATAGCCTTTGAAGCCGGATTAGACGGGGGTTCAGGCCCCGTCCACCCTGGACGGACGAAACTTTGCCTTTTCGGCAAAGCTCGTCTGTTCCTCTTTAACGCAGAGAGTTCCAGGAGGCGTCCGCAAGTCAAAGACCGCGAGATGCTATTCGGTATTTATCTTTTCACCCACGGAAAAGAATATGGCACAAGGCCTGGGTTTCCGAGCCGGCAGGCTCGGCCAAAAAAATAGCCTTTCGAAGCCGATTATACGGGTTCAGGCCCTGTTTACCTCCCCCCCGGACGAGTCCCTTGCCCTTCGGCAAAGCTTCTGGGTTCCTATCGCTTACGCAGAGAGTTCGACAGGAGGCGTCCGCAGTCAAAGACCGCGATGCCATTCGGTATTCATCTTTTTCACCCACGGAAAAGAATATGGCACAAGGCCGGTTTTATTGTGGGTTTCCGGAGCCCGTAGGCTCGGCCAAAAAAATAGCCTCTTTGAAGCCGATTAGACGGGTTCAACCTCCCGGACGAAACTTTGCCCTTCGGCAAAGCCTCGTTAGGTTCTAACGCAGAGAGTTCGACAGAGGCGTCCGCAGTCAAAGACCGCGAGATGCTATTCGGTATTTATCTTTTCACCCACGGAAAAGAATATGGCACAAGGCCGTATTTTTATGTGGGTTTCCCTAGGGGAGCCCGTAGGCTCGGCCAAAAAATAGCCTTTGAAGCCGATTAGACGGGGTTCAGGCCCCTCCTCCCTTGACGAAACTTTGCCCTTCGGCAAAGCTCTCGTCT